CCATCTTCGGACGATGGCGCTGTGCACGCGGTGTTTAAACTTGCGTCGTAGAATGCACAGAGCGCGTCGTCCGGGTAGCTGGTGGTGTTAGCTAGCAGCTGGAACAGTCTAGTATGGTCCTCGAGCGATCGCTCCCCCTACTCCAGCAGGAGGAGGAGGAACTCCAGGCGGACGAGAAAATCCATAAGGGCACACAACGGTAAAAAAAGACACTGGGTGAAAACGGGAAACAAAATGGAGGCTAGACAAACGGATGTTACTGTTTAGGTCGGTTCTTCTGTCACACTCTGTGATGGCGAGGAACGATGGAGACGAGGAATAGCGAACACAGTCTTTAATACAATCCAAACACAGGGTACATCCACACTGGAAACGGTAGGAAACACACAAACATAACGAGTAGACCCGACAGAGACAGACTGCACAGACTAGGACTTAAATACAGGGGATGATTGGAGAAACACAGATGCATGGGATCATAATCAAACTAATTAACAAAATGAGGACAGGAACATGACCAAATAAGGGAACAGAAACAGGAGCAAAACATGACACAGACAGTCCAAGATCCTGACAGTGTGTGTGTGTACAAAGAGAGAGAGCAACACAATGCAATCTGACAAAACTAGAACATTCCTGTTATAATCAGCAAGACTGCATTGAGAGTGCACAACTTCAACGAAACTGCAATGGGAAGTTGTAAACTTGCAGTACAGTTATCTTTGTTGACTATAACAGTAGTATTGTCAAAATATCAATGTGATATAAATTTTCCATGCCATGATAAAGCTTGGAAGAGAATACTGGCGTACTCCTTACTGTGATGAACAGACAAAACATTGAGTAAATGAAAGTATGCATTGATAAACATTTTAAACATAAGGTAAATTTATCCAGTTATCATCTTGGAAATATTTTTTCATAGCAATTTTAACCCAATTTTGTGTAAAAATGCTTAACATAGTAATATTTATATGTCACATTGGAAATGTTAGGCTAGTGATAAATAAAGTTTGCATACTATGCACAGTACACTCTTAAAAATAAAGGTTCCAAAATGGGGTTTTCATAGCGATGCCATAGTAGAACCAGTTTTGGTTCACCAAAGAACCTTTCAGTGAACAGTTCTTAAAAGAACAATTTTTTCTTAGTATGAAGAACATTTTTATAATCTAAAGAACCTTTTTCCACTGTAAAGAACCTTTTGTGGAATGAAAAGGTTCCATGGATGGTAAAGGTTCTTTGTGGAACCATTGATTGCCAATAAAGAACCTTTATTTTTACGAGTGTATACTATATTGCTGAAATAGTAAGAGTAGTATGGCAGTATACTACACTGACCATACAGTAACCACATGAAACATACATACTGTAACTATATTCTTTGCATTACTTTTCAAAAGACAGATTGTTCAGAGGGACGAGGGGATACAAGAGCAAAATATGTAAGGTTGGATCCAAACCATAAAGAAAAACAATCGCTTTTCTTCTAGTAAGACTCCACATAGTTTGTCTCCTGTACAGAGCCAGAGAATACAGCGAGTGAAGCAGCACTGATCCTCTTAAGAGACTCATTGATGCCTCGTCAGTCTGTGTCCAAATAAAGCTGAGCTTTATAGTATTTATAGGAAGACTCCTGTTCTAACTCCTGCTGTGATTTTGAGGAAGGATCTGGGACAGACATATTAATGCTGGATGCTTCCCCTGGGAACAACAAGCAGTGGACCGGTGTATCACTTTGTCTCTGGGACCTCATAATAATGATTCATAATATTTTATTAGGTTTCTGGTAGAATTCAGGAAAACTAAAGAAAATCTCTCTAAGGAGAATTTGGTGGTGGTGTTGTGGGAGAGTATAGGGGTGTCATGAGTCTTTTTTTTCTTTCTTTTAATTTTGGAATGAAATATGATCCGAGCATTTATAGGCATTTAGACTTTATAATAATGTTATCAATAATTAGAATCTAATACACGTGTCACATGTTTGTTTCTGTTTAGTTCCTGTTTGCCCCTATTTGGTTCAGTTCCTGTTCTCATTTAGTTTATCATCGTTTATTCTGTTCACCTGTTTTGATTGATTACTCCTCACCTGTTTCTGTTCTCCCTGATTACGTTCCATGTGTTTATAAGCCATGTGTTTTCCTCAGGCTCTATCGTGGATTCCTGCCTCTCTGTGTGCTTCTTCCGCACCACGATCTGTGACAGAATGCAAGAACCATAAAAACTGAAAGCGTTTGTTTTCCGCCTTTTTGAACAGTTTGTTTTCCTGTTTTTTTTTTTCCTCCATGGCATGGAAACCGCCGCACGTTTCGCCACTGCGAAGTCAAGCCCGCCGGCCGCGGCTCACTCCAGCATGCCGGCCGCTCCGAAGATAGGCCCGCCAGCCACGCCGTTGTCAAGCCCACCGGCCGCCATTGACCCAAGCCTGCCGGTCACCGCAACGGCAAGCCCGCCAGCCGCGCCTTTCACCCCGAGCCTAGAGGGGAATCTGAGGAGGAGAAGGCGGTTGGTTCTGGTCCCTAGGCGCGCTCCAGTGTCGGCTCTAGCCCCTGAGTCCGCTCCAGTGTCGGCTCTAGCTCTAGCCCCTGAGTCCGCTCCAGTGTCGGCTCTAGCCCCTGAGTCCGCTCCAGTGCCAGCTCCTCGAAAGCGCCTTGCTGTGCCTGCTCCTCCAGAGTGCCCTCCAGTGCCAGCTTCTCGTAAGTGCTTCCCAGTCCCCGAATCCAGCCCAGAGTGGGCTCCTGTTCCTGAGTATAGCCCACGGAGGGCTCCAGCTCCCGAGGCTAGCCCACGGAGGGCTCCAGCTCCCGAGGTTAGCCCACGGAGGTCTCAAGCTCCCGAGTATAGCCCACGGAGGGCTCCTGTCCCCGTGTTTAGCCCAAGGAGGGCTCCAGTCCCTGAATCCCCTCCAGAGCGCCCCCCAGGATTCCTAGTTTTCCCTAAGAAAATTTTTTTGGGGGAGGGGCATATACCCGTGGCCGAGCTGCTTAATGCCATGGAGGATCCGCCATGACCTCCTGAGCTACCAGCTCCGCCATGGCAACCTGAACTGTCTGCTCCACCATGGTCCCCGAGCTGCCCGCTCTGCCATGGGACCTGGATCCGGTACCGCGTCGGGTCCAAGCCTGTCCTGAGGGACCTCCAAGGCGCCCACCCTCCCACTCCTCGATGTTATGTGGCACGAGGTTGTGCCTTTCGGAGGGGGCCGTTATCTGTTACATGTTTGTTTCCGTTTAGTTCCTGTTTGTCCCTGTTTGGTTCAGTTCCTGTTCTCATTTAGTTTATCATTTATTCTGTTCACCTGTTTTGATTGATTACTCACCTGTTTCTGTTCTCCCTGATTACGTTCCAGGTGTTTATAAGCCCTGTGTTTTCCTCAGTTCCCTTGTCTTGCATTAAAGTTGTATCGTTGTTGTGGTCTCCCTCAGTTTCAGAGTGTTTTGGTCTTGTTTTGATAATTAAAGACTATCGTGGATTCCTGCCTCTCCGTGTGCTTCCTCCGCACCACGACCTTTTTTTTGTTTTGTTTTTTGTTTTTTTTGATCAAGGTGCAAAAATGTAGAGAATTGCTGTTAAATGTTGGTTGAACTAGCAGATATACAAAAAGATGGATACAAATTTGATTTGCATTTTAAGTGCACACGTGTCAGATTTGTTGTACACTTTGAACACAAACCATTTTGACATGTTCTGAGTGGTGCTTGTCGTCTTTGTGGTTGCCTATAGTCAAAAGTCCGCTCTTAAGTCTGATATTCTTGGCTATATATATGGTTTGGGCCTCTCCCTCAATGTACGTGTATGAGACTCATGTTTGCCTATATTTTATAATCTGCCATTGGAAAAACAAAAGTTGGAAGATTAATGCCACAAATCTCCTCAAGATGTCTTTCAAACTTTTATGCTGTGAACACAAAACCCATAAAATCTTAAAGCTTGTTACCCTTCTGTCTTACTATGCAGATGATATATGTCAGTTTTGCTTAATCCAAGACTCTTATTTTGATAGTTTTGTTCTGTTGTTTCTGTCTTCATCTTCTGAGTTCCTGTATTTAGTTCCTGTTGCATTAGTTTCTGTGAGAATGTCATCTGTTGCCTTGGTTATTGATCAGTCCCACCTGTGCCTTGTTTCACTCCTTGTTGTCTTCTGTATTTATGCTGCATTCACGCCATGTCATAATTACCACAAACATATAACCCGGCTATAGAAACACATAATTCAGCTCCGAGTAGAATGTCACGTGTTGTCATCTCGTAATTATGGTAATTACGACATGGTGTGAACGCAGCTTTATATTCCCCTGTTCGGTTTAGTTCTCTGTCTGGTATTGTCTTTACCAGCTGGGAAGATCTTAGGTTGATTCCTATTAAGTTGGATTGTCTTTATTGTTTTTATTTTGGTTAAAGTAATTAAACTGCACCTTAATCTACTACATCTCATCTTTGCCTGACCCGCCATGATGATATAACAAGGAAAAGAATGAGAAAAGACAGATTTACTCTGAAGGAGTCATATCTAGAGACCAGAATATCATAGATTTGAGGGTGGCTTCTTTTGACTTCAGACAAAAATCAACCACCAAGAAACCACAATAACAGTGCATTAACAAGCCAAAAACCCAAGCGACCCAACAGCAACATGTTAACAGTTTAGTAAATATTGGCTCGACACTGATAACACCCTTGTATCATGGTGGTGAGATAATATGAAATATTATCGGGGGTTCTGTTAGGCTAGTTAGCTACTTTCTGCTGTCATATTATCATTAAATGTCAGTATAAACACATGCAGTAATGCTGTAATTGAAAGTAGTAATATATGATTTTGAAGGGTCAGGGTTTTGCTCATGTTCCGTGTTTTTACACTCAAAAAGGATGTTTACACGACTGTTAGGAGATAGAAGTACTATTGATATAGAAACAACATTAAACATTTGTCATATCTCTAATCAACTTCTATTTCAATGTCTAATTTCCTTGTTTTTGTGTTTTTGCATGTGTTTTAGAGTTGTCAATTTCCAAACTAAGAATGGTGCCACACCACTATACCTTGCATGTCAGGAGGGCCACCTGGAAGTCGTCCAATACTTAGTGAAGGACTGCGGGGCGGAGCCAAGTATCAGAGCCAATGATGGGATGACACCATTGCACGCTGCTGCCCAGATGGGACACAACACTGTCATTGTCTGGCTGGTGAGCCAAAAACAGCTTTTATTCACAAGTTGGCCTGACCGTTCAGTCAGAGCCGATCCTCCCTATATGCAAAATATGCAAGCTGCTTAGGGCCCCCGAAACACCAGGGGGCCCCCTTGCTCTCAAAGATGATTTCATTTTAGTTTTGTTTTTGAATTTGGTCAGCGGTTATGAAAACATGAATGATCATTTATTTTAATGTGGTGTGCTGTCGACCTTTCTACGTAAAAATCAGTCAAATCATGAATGTCGTACAGTCTTGCTCGAGACTATTTCGAGCAAGACTCGAGATTCGAGACGGAGTGAAACACGGACAAATGCGTTTCATTCATTCGTTCATAACCACTCATACCCCACTCAACCCCCAGCCCCCCAAATAGTCATTGCAAGTATCAGAATTAGGCTACCTATTTGCTCGCGCACGAGCAGCTCCGTTTCATCTCTGGAGGCGCGTTCTGTCTTTGCGCTTGCAAATTCTGCCATGTAAATAGCAAATCCGCCATGGCACGAGTGCAACTGGCTCTTAAAGGGAATGGGAGATGAGACTCTGATTGTTTTTTTGCACGTTATGCCCAAAACACATCCATTACTCATTAAGGGAATAGGGACAGCCCTTTTAGACCATGCTCCGGGTGCACCGACCGTTTTTTTCCGTCGTTAAACTAGCAAAAGTGGATTCGGACACGCCCTAAGTGCACCTGCCGTACGCTTTAGACCATGCGCTTAGATCGTTAAAATAGGGCCCTAAATGTTGATTGTCACAGAAAATAATTTTCACTTTCACAAGAATGGAACATGTACCATAAATACCACATATGCAAGTTCTCCAGCAACAACTACCAAATGTTACTGAAAAGCGTCCAAATTTGTGAGAAATTCAAATAAAAATTATAGAAACCTAGTTGTTTTGTTAATGTTGAAAGATCTAAGGATCTGTTTCAGTATAGCAACCTATGTGTGTGTAGCTTTCAGAGAGCAACCAGAAACTTATTTTGTTTGATTTTCTTCATGTTAAATTTGTTTTGTAATCATTAGTCATTTATGTTATTTATCATTACGTTTATAATCATTAGTCGTTTATGTAATTTATCATTTCATTTATATCATTTATCATAATTTTTATTATGTTTTTTACATTTAATATTATTTATTATAATTTCCTTGCTCTTGCCATGCATGCTACTGTTGTTTAATCTGTGATTGTGGCGTTTCATGGAGTGTTCGTCTTCACGAAAAAAAGATAAGGCAAAATATCACAGTTTCAAGGTTTAATGGGATGGGATATTGACGTGAAGCAATTTTGTGTGAAAGCACTTGTGATTTTGGGTACCAGAAACGATTTGCTGTTAACAGTTTTTGGGTGCCAGACAAAACTTCAGTGGCTGGGTTTTGGTTACCAGACAAAAGGGATCTGACAGTTTAAGTTCTTTAGAAGACTTGTTTTATCCTTCATTCTCTTTAATTACTTGACATTGAACGAAACTGTTTGTTGGCATTGCAAACTAAAGGTGCATTATTTCAGCCAGGTGTGTATATGAGCTACTATGATGAGCAGTATTTTGCAGTATAATTTAACATCATATCTGTAGGTTCTTGATCAGACTTGTTGGATATTTACATCACCTGCATATTAAGAAGTCAACAAACAGGGAAAAGAAACATTTTATCATGTCTGTACTAACTACTTCTTACTTTTTGTCTTGTATAGATGAGTTTCACAGAAATCAGCCTGTCTGACAGAGACAATGATGGGGCCACTGCCATGCACTTTGCTGCCAGCCGCGGCCATGCCAAGGTTCTCAGCTGGCTGCTGCTGCACGGCGGGGAGATAGTGACGGACAGCTGGGGTGGGACACCCCTTCATGACGCAGCCGAGAACGGAGAGCTGGAGGTATGTAAGAGAAACTAATCTATGTGAATGTTTCTTGCCTTGCAAATGCAACTGCAATAGTAATTACAGCTCTGACATCTAAAACACATCAGACAGTGAGAAATTATATTGTGATATTACAACCTTAGGAATACAAAACTCCATGCAGTCAGTATTTGTGAATTGTGAACACATCATAAATTGTGAACACTTTCTTTTAGTATAATGTATTTAGGGTTAAAATAGGAAAATGCATTTGCAGTACATTTAACTATTTTTATTATTGTAGTTATTATTGGTCAGTATCTTTTTTTCACTGCCAAAATAATTTTTATTTTTTAAAGACAAATGAAAAACTTTTTTTTTTTTTAGAAAAAAAAGAAAAGAAAAATTATGCATGCACAATAAGATCAGGTACATGTAAATAAAGTAAATAAATAAATGGGGTCAACTGATTTAATGTTGACTATACACAACATATGATAACAGAGTCATTGTGGTACAAATAATTTAATGTGATCTTCCACTCAAACTGTTTCATCTGAGATGGAATGCCAAGATGTACAACTAAATTGAGGTAATGTTCTAAATAATCTATAATATAAAGCAAATATCTGTTTTAGTTGTGTATTGTATAATTATATAAAAAAGAGAAGCTATATCTTGACTATTACTTGAGTAAAATAATAATAATAAAAAAAGATATATTTTTGAACATTACATTTTGAAGTCTCTTTTATAAACTAGAACCTAAAAAAAGTCTGTCTATAAACGCTGGTTGCTTTATTTCTGATGTGGAGATTTGATCTAACAATCATGTGTAACTAAAACTTTACATTTTGGATACTTTTAATTATTTAGAAGTCCTGTTTTATCCTTCATTCTATGCAGTTACTTAACATTGCACAAAACTGTTTGTTGGCATTGCAAACTAGAGGTGCATCATTTTAGCCAGGTGTGCTATATAACCTAGCATGATGAGCAGTATTTTGCAGTATACTGTAGTTTAATATGATCAAATGTCTGTTTTGGTGATTTACTTTATAAGAGCATCTATGTTTTGACTTTGACTTGGAAAAAAATCAAGAATGATTCTTAAACATCACATTTGTGAACTCTTGGAATAATACATAACTTTAATACAATAGATGATTTATGAGAAAAAAGTGACATGTTATACATATTATAGTGACATTGCATACAACGTTTGGTTAGTATACACTCTCAGCAAGTCTATAGTAAATCAATAGAAAGTTTAGTTGAGTTAAAAATGAAATTCTTTTTCCTTTCTGTATGTACAATATATTATAAAGAATTATTATTGCAATTATTGTGCATTTTTCATGTTATATTTAATAATTGTTATATGCTTTATTTGTTGCATTTATTTATTCAGAAACCTGAGCCTTATTCTGTTCTAATGTCATATCGTTTGTTGGCTAGATGCCTAGTTTGTGATTTTTTTTTTCTGTGTTAATATTTTTCGATTTCTATGATATAACATTTATATTCACCTTCATCCTTAGTAATCAGGCAAACACTTTTATTAGAATTTACTATAATTAGAATTAATACATTCTTAATACATAATTAAGAAAAAAAGTGTTTATACCATAACCTGTATGATATTATTGTGAAAGTGCTATAAACTTTAGTGCTTGGAACTTTCCACAGTCATGCGGCACCTTTATTGGTTTGTAACATTATCCATCTGAACACAGAAACTTTCAGAGAGTATTGTCTCTCGTTCTCCACCTGAGGGCCAAACGCATGACAGCTGTTATTAACAAAGTACCCTTTTACTGCATTCATGAACACCACTCATACTTTACTCAACTCTCTTTCTCAAACAGACAAATATTTACACCCTTCAGAACGAGCACACACTTTTTCAACAGATGTCGTTTAGTCATGAATATGTGCACAATTCTGTTTGTTCACATCCTTAACTTTATGAATGAGCAATAGGAATAGTAATGCTTGCTTTAGCAGACAGCGGTAAATCTATTTAATAAAACAGCCCCAGATTATCTAGTCTATCTGGTTGTTAATGTAAATGTCTGTTTCTCTGCTGTCAGTGCTGTCAGATTCTGGTAGTGAACGGAGTGGACATGGGGATACGGGACCAGGATGGATGATATTATTGTGAAAGTGCTGTAAACTTTAGTGCTGGGAACTTTCCACAGTCATGCGGCACCTTTATTGGTTTGTAACATTATCCATCTGAACACAGAAACTTTCAGAGAGTATTGTCTCTTGTTCTCCACCTGAGGGCCAAACGCATGACAGCTGTCATTAACAAAGTACCCTTTTACTGCATTCATGAACACCACTCATACTTTACTCAACTCTCTTTCTCAAACAGACAAATATTTACACCCTTCAGAACGAGCACACACTTTTTCAACAGATGTCGTTTAGTCATGAATATGTGCACAATTCTGTTTGTTCACATCCTTAACTTTATGAATGAGCAATAGGAATAGTAATGCTTGCTTTAGCAGACAGCGGTAAATCTATTTAATAAAACAGCCCCAGATTATCTAGTCTATCTGGTTGTTAATGTAAATGTCTGTTTCTCTGCTGTCAGTGCTGTCAGATTCTGGTAGTGAACGGAGTGGACATGGGGATACGGGACCAGGATGGATTCTCAGCGGCAGACCTGGCTGAATACAACGGGCATCAGCAGTGTGCCAAGTACATCCGCACTGTTGAAAACATGGTGAGAAACAGCACAGACACAACCATAAAGCAGTCTTAAACAAGAGTTTTACAACAAAAGCAAATTAAATTGTTATTACAAATGCTCACTTATCTCTGTTTACATTCTCAGTACTACAAAATATGTTAATTAAATGTTTTCTTTATTTTTGGTAATTTGCTTGTTTGCTTCGTTTAGCCTTTAATATTTGCATATAACACAAAAGTAGAAACTGTAGAAATGCAGTCAGCAGTCATTCCCCCCCCCCGTTTTATAAAAGAGGATAAAATTTAAGATTAAAATCTCATCTAATTCTGTGTTAGTGTACGACGTTTTAACTTTATAAAGTCTACTGTATCATATTTGATAAGCAAATTTCTAAGGCCACTAAATTCAACGTGTTCAAAACTTTGCTGAAAAACTTGTACGTAATCTACTACATACCTGCTGTTATTTTGTCATGATTTATGTGATTCATAGTTTATTATTATTATTTTTAGCAAGTAAAAAAGGACTTTTCTTGTAATTTTAAAAACATCCTCCTTTTTTTTTTTTATAGGAAAATCATGCTAAATTGTCTCAAATATGATCATCAGGCCTTTGAGGATAATTTATTTACGGTGCCTTGCGAAAGTATTCATACCCCTTCATTTTTTTTTCAGGTTTTGTTATGTTGTAGCCTTATGTTAAACTGCTTTAAATGACTTTTTCCCCCACATCAATCTACACGCCATACACCATAATGACAAAGCACAAAAAAGATTTGTGACAACTTTGCAAATTTATTAAAAAACTGAAATAAATACATTGCATAATTGTTCATACCCTTAAGTACTTAGGTGAAGCACCTTGTCAGTCACCAGTTGAGCCACCACTGCACTGCATTTCCCAGCATCCCTCTTGCCACTCACCTGCACTCCCTTGTCAATCACTCACACCTGAAATCTATCAGTGGATCCTCCTCACCTGTCACTGCCAGTCAAGCTCCCTATAAAAACACGCTCACTCCACAATCGCTGTGATTTTGCCAAGTAAGACATGTTCCTGGATCAACATTACTGTCCAAAAATATAGACTAAATTCAATCCCTAACCCTACCAATAATTTATTCCTAAAATCAGTGTGAAATGAAACCAAGGGTGTAGAAGCACCTAACCCTGATCGTAAGCCTAAAACAGATATTTCATCCTAAGTTATCCTTCAATTCTGACTGGTTGATTGGAATGTTGTTCCAGGATCAACAAGGATGTTGTACTTGGTGAAATCACGGTCACCTAAAATCATCATGCTGTACATACAAATTAAATTAATCAAAGGAACCATTTCAATTAAGCAGAGAAGCTGAATGAAGTTTGAGTAGATGTTTTTTTAACATGTGAGGGGCCCTTAAGATTGAATCTTTCTCTATGAATTTTTTTTATAACTAAAATAAGCAAAACTGTTTGAATGGTTCATAATTGTTTGTTTCCTTTCATATGAATCTACATAAGATGTTTGTGTTTCTTTTCTAAACAGCTTTTCGCAATGGTGTTCGCCATGTGTTTGTTCAGGGGAATCCAATAGATCAAGTTCACCGAAAGACTTTTTCAAAAAGGAAAACACCACAAAAGAAAACTGAACCACTTGTCAAAGAATGTTTTACGCCATTTTTTTTATCTCTAAAATTATTAAGGAACAAAGAATCATTGACCTGTACTTCACAGCTGGACCTTTGAGGTACAACGTAACAAAATAAAACATTGATAAAAAAAGAACATTCTTTGAATACTGCGAAGATTTATTGGGCTTCTTGTCAGAAAGCCCAATGCGTAATTTTGACCAGGTGTTAAAAGACCAGATAAAGCCTGAAAAACGGATGAAGAAGGTGCTGCACTGATTTTGGATGAAGAATATTTATACTAAGTAATGCTGGCTTGTTTGTATAGGCATTTGTGCTTTTAGTAAAAACAAAAATAAAAAAATAGAACAAACCATT